GAATGCGAAGCAGACTGATTGGTTCTCGTGTCTGAGCCGCCTCGCCAAAGGTTCGTGCAGTTGCCGCGGCACAGCCAATCTGTGTTTGCTGTGCAGCTGCACTGCGTTTTAAAAATTTGGCTTCAATATTCTCGAGAAAAGGAGTTTTCCCATAGCATAAGCTAGCCTTACGCAATACTCATTCCCTCATCTCAGAGAACCGAGGTTACATAAGTAACCGAGACATTCGCTTGATCCCCTCAAAGTTGCGTTGGATTTTCTCCTCAGCATAAAGGTTAAGGGGCCCATCTATCACTGTTTTCCACGTTCGTAGAGTTAGTTTGTGGAGTAAATATATAGCCTATAATCTATGTGTTTACACAGCCTTTTTAAAAATGGCGGGTGCTGGCGTTTCGCGTGCGTTCGGCCAATCAGCGTACACTTACATCACGGATAGTTCCTATAGTGCTGGTTTAGACCCTACTCTGAAGTAGGAGCTAAATTAGTTTCTCCAAATAGAGTTCCTAGAACTAAAATCGTTCCTAGTTCCTGGGGTGCGGACACGCCAAAAACAGGGAACTTCCGCCAATATTTCTAAGAACTATGAAAAGGTTCCTCCGGTGCGAAAGCCCCTATAGTCCTTGAGGGGCTGGTTGGGAACCCCCTTGAATCTCGAGACCGCACTGAGGATGTGCCTGGACAGCTCTTCAAACAAAGTGATACCTGCAGCACATCTTAATTATAGACTCTGACGAGCACGCTCTCCAATGACGTCACCATCAGAGGCCGTCAAGTTCAAAGCCAAATTCTTTGCCCATAGCACTAACGCAGCCTCTCATTCCCGATTTGTCAGGGAACAGGGTTACATTTTAAATTTCACAGTATTACTGTTTTTACAGCATTTTCGATCAAATAAAAAATAGTCATGGTGAGCAGGGACTTCTTTTAAAGTGTAAATTGCAGGTTACATTTTTCACGAAGATAATCCAATGTGCCTACTAAACATAAAGATAAGAACCGCCCACCATTGTTTTTGATGTTTTTTATACCAAAATGCTGAATATAATATGAAAAGTTGGTACTTTTTACACTCCCCCTCCCTTCCACTAGGCTGGGCGTGACGTCATAAACTCCAAGCCTAGAGTTACCGTTAGTCTACGGCAAGTAGGCTAGCTAGCAGTTATATAGAAACGTTTTTTAGATTCAGAAGTGATGAATGAAATAACTGAATTGTAAACATACTTGTGTGTGCTGGCTTCAAGAGGACCGTGATCCTGCCTGAAATGAGAGTAAGCTATTCGCAAAACAAACGGGTTCAGGCAGCATGCGTCAAAACCAGGATATGCTGCGTGAGGCACGTCAGATTTGCCGGCCGGTCGCGGGTCGAAAACGCGTTCACCTCACGACAGCACATACTCTCCACTGATGATTCCATTGGGTGGCATAGCCCACACAAACACCTGCCAAACACAGTGATAGGGACATCGATCTCTTTCAATGAGCATCGCTAATTAGTTGCGTTTTAGCACAGGCAATATCACGTTCTGTCTGCAGATGCCAGGAAAAGCGCCATTTGTGCCTGTGCAGTGTGTGCATCTCTACAGCTCTGATTAGGGCTACTAACACCATGTAAGTAAATTTGTCTTCAGTCGTTGTCCCTCCTTGCTATTCTACATGACGGCAAGATTTTGAAAAGACTTTGGCTTGTTCCCTAATGTTATCCGGGTTAGCACCAGGCTAAATCTAGCTACTCGCCAGGACACCTGGCCAACCCTCCACTCATTTTCATCACACCAAGCACTGACAATTGATAAATTGTAGGGCTGTGGCCCATCAAGAATGTGATGGTTTCCCACCTCCTCAGTCTCCCAGTCGTTCTCCATAGACCCCTTTTCAGAGTAAACACGGTGACGTTTTTTTGTGGGCGGAGCTTAGGTGGAGGCAGAACGATCCCTCTGGCCGCTTCACTAACGTTAGTTTGCAAGTTTTGTTAGCTTGTGTTTTAACAATGACTGGAGAAAATCCGATTTTATCTTAATGTGGAAGGCCACTCAGTGTCCAGGACCGCAATTGTTATTTGCAAAAGTTAATTTTAACGGACGGAACCAGATTGGCTGACCCGTACACGCTCACTCAATGCATGGACGATCTGACAGGATTAACGTTAACGCTACCTCCGGTTGAGTGGCCTGACTTCTACACCTATCCGATAGAGAAACCAAGCGTAAAGAGAAACTGAGGGCATATAAATCTTTAGATGCCTATAACTATGTGCTGAATGGTCAACACGACTTGTGTGGTACGATCCACAGTTCTGCCTATAGCCAGCGCCGAGAAGACGACAATGTAAAGAGTGACGTTACGGTGCAATTTTAATGATTTGAATATTTTCATGAAATAAAATTCCAGATACAGCATATTCATTTTTCATTGATTCTTGCACCCAACAACACAACAAGATGATATTTAATAATAATAATAATAATTTAAGCTCCTTATTATGTAGCTGAATCTGTGCTGGTTTGTATTAGCCGCCTCCAGTTGTCCGTTTGTTTTGCCTCCAGCTAGGGCCGTGACGTAACTGTGACATCGGCGCAAAAGGGGTCAAGCCACAAACAGTAGGAATCTAGCAGAGTATGGGTTGCTACTTATGATGTCATCACCCAGTTACTGTAAAAAAAAACATGCTACATTTGAAACCCCAATAAATGTTATTTTAACGCATTTTAAGACAGAAATGTTTAAATATATACATATTGAGCACTTTAATTTACACATTAATTGGTTGTGGTGGTTAACCTGCAATTTACACTTTAAAAACGTTCTTTCAAAAAAATATTCCTAACCTCAAATTAAAAAAAAGAAGGCAGTTTAGGTTATGACCGAGCCACAGGTCATAATCTAGTTTTACTTCTAGATCCAAGGAAACTGTTGTGTATATAATATTTGTTCTTCTACATGAATTGCATCCTTACCCAGAGCAAAGAGAGACAGATCTGATCTTAAGCAGTCTTTATTAAGATAAATGAACAGTTTGGCATTTTTAGTCCTCTTCATGGAATCGATGAATGTAATACTCACCGAGCCAATGGGGAGTGGACACACACACACACACACACACACACACACACACACACACACACACACACACACACACACACACACACACACACACACACACACACACACACACACACACACACACACACACACACACACACACACTATGACTTGCCAGAGGGTGCGCGTTAAATGTCCAAGCAGTAATCAATGCAGAGAAATTAGCTATTGATTGTGTATAGTTTTGTAATAGGTTACTCTATGGGTTGCTCTTTTAGAAAATTCCAATATTCATCTCCCTGGGAATAAAGGCATAATAACTTTGTTTAGCCTTGACTGAGAGTGTGAAGGCAGAAATGAGTCGGCTTTTCGGGGTCAAACTCTAATTAGTATAAAGGTCAAACTGGAAATAAACATGGTGATAAAAAATAATGATGAACTTGGCATCAGAAGCAAAGTTCATTAAGAGCTGTGTGGGAATGGTGCTTCTGTATTGGCTTTTCCATGAATGTGATCTACATTAGATTCTCTCTTTTAAAACCCAGCTGACATTGATGGTGGGTAATCAACATTTTTACTCTGTGTCTGAGATTTACAAAGCAAAAGGTACTGTAATGGGATTTAATAAAGTATACACAGATTGTGACATTTAACTGCAGGAATTAACCACAACAAAACAAAACAACAAAAAACTATTACTTTTTACTTGTGGTTGTCACCAGTTGAGTCATTTGTTTTGTACAGATCTGTTAATTTATGAAAAATGCATTGAAATACAATTCATACATTTTTAAAATCGCATGATTTTTAAAAAAAAAAATATTTGAAACTTTTTGTACGCTAATTGTAAATTTTTCAAAATCAACCTATATTCCAATAAGAACAATTAAGAGATTATAATAGTCCACAGTAGTCGATTGTCGAGTTCGCGCGCGCAATCATTGGTAACGACTAATGATCGCGCGCGCGAACTCGACAATCGACTACTGTGGACTTCGAACGAAAACAGGAAGTAAATACAGGTATGTGAGCTGGCTGAATTAACATCATTTTTATTAATATCTTTCACATCTACTTCAGTCAGATTGACCGTGGTCACTCTTAATAACACCACTCACATGGCTGTGCACTTGTAACGACACATTAAGGTTGTTAAGAGGCTAAAAGCAGGTTTAGAACTTGTCCCATTGAAGTCAACAGGGTGCGAATTTTAAAAAGAGGATAACACGGTGTAGGCAACACCGATTTTTGTCGTTTTTGTCTGTACTGACAGCACTCCAAATATACAAAAAAATGAGCTCAATGTTGAAATTGACCGGAGTTCTCCTTTAATGTTTTTTGAAAGATGTGTCCTTTTTCTTTTTTGTGGACACTTTGATTTGTCATTGCCTCATGTGTCTACTTTGCTCATTTGTTTTTTTCAGAAGGATTTTCCGAATGAGAAAAAGCAATACAGCTTTAGGAAATTAAATTCAACAATTTTCACAATACAGTATTGACACAGTAAAATCATTTCAACTTGAATTACATTAAATTGATTAAAAAAGAATTGTTGAATCCTATATAACTTATAAAAAAAGTAGAAAATTGCTTAACCTATTTGGATAAGTTAAAGCAATGTAAAACATATGTTGTCATAAGTTATTGATCACACACACACACACACACACACACACACACACACACACACACACACACACACACACACACACACACACACACACACACACACATATATATATATATATATATATATATATATAACAAATTCTTTTTTTTTTTATACAGTGAAGGCATCTTTACAGAAAATGCATATTTCCATGCTACACTCAGTAAGTATTATGTTATCAAATGCCAGAAACGAGTGTGTCAAAGTAATGTCCATATGGCAGTAATATACAATACAGCTTTAACTGTGGCTGGTTTGATGTTTGTGTGTGTGTGGTTAACAGCATTGAGTTTTCATTACAGAACTGAGTCTTTGTTGGAGGTAAGGAGTGGCATTTCCATTTGGCCTAGAGGAATTACTACATAACGTACTGGTCCATTTGATAAAAATGCTGTTCCTCGGAAGACTGAGTCCCCGGTTCAAAATCTGTGAGTATTGTCGTAAATCAAGCAATAGATAAGTCTCTTCACATCCCCTTAATGCTGGGTCCCTACCATAAGATCATTACAGTAAAAAAAAAAGACAAATTTGATTGATTAAAATGGCACCAGGCGACTTCGGCTAAACCACGTTAAGTGATGTGACACTGCAGTTTCCGCGTCATATTTCTGTCAAGACAATGATGGTAAAAAGCGTTGTTGGCATGTGATATCTGACAACACAAGCCATCTGCCTGGATATGAGGCTAGATTTATGACAGGGTTTAAGTGGGCTGCACAGGAGTAGCGAGAGAAAAGTAGCCGTTTTTGAGTATTGTCACTTTTCAAATGACCGTAAATTCTGTTAAGGGGACACTTAAGTGGCTTGACAAACTGCCAGTCGTAAAGGTATGTACCATGCTAGTTAGCTCTGGCCCTCATGCCTGACACAGTCTCTTAAATGTTTATGCTCTGCACAGTTAAAGGATGCACTAGCTTTGTCGTATGTTAATACAGAATACATTGACTTTATCCTCTGTTTATTATCACCAACATAAAGAATGATCCACAACAAGCAGCAGCAGACAAATCAAAACCTCCCTATTGATCAAGAAATACTAAAATACTAAAATACTTCAGGTCATGTAATGAAAAGGAAAATGGAATCTTGCACATATAGGATAGTCTAATGTATTTTTTATTTATTTTAAAATTATAAGTCACAGATCTAGTAGTAGTAGTAATAATATTAATAGTTATTATTATTATTATTGACTTACTAAATATTTTCAGATCTTAATAATAATAATAATAATAATAATTATTATTATTATTATTGTTGTTGTTAACTTTTATTAATGCACCATTCACAACACACAATTTAATATAAAACTACTTGTAAAATAAAAATATTGTCGTTATTTTTGTTAACAAGAAGCATACATGTTCATAATGTGAAGTTTATTAATAAAGCTTGCCTCAGGCCCATTCGTGTTGTACATCTTTAATGCGATAAAGCTGCCTTTGCTAGCAAGTAAATGCAGTACATTTTGTTCACATCCATTTTGTTAATGGATAATTAAATAATTAAAATGTAATCTGTTCAGCTGTTCATTAGTGTAACAACTGTAGTCACTACTGTGTAGTGTGTATACTTTTACCAAGCCTGATCATCTTTATTTAATTTATTTATTATGTACACCATTATTTTAATTAATTCATTTATGAAATTACTAAAGATTTAACAGATGAAACCACCACATGGCTCTATTGTAGCACAGCTTTTGTCATTATTCTTCGATTCTAATTCATTCATTCCATTGAGTGCGAGCAACAACTGCGTCTGATTGTCTATCAAACGAATCCCCATATTCACAGGAGCGCAGAGGATTGAGTACACTTACAGAAACCCATTAGCCTAGTTTCTCAGACTTAAAGTAGAAAAAAAATCAAGCCAATCATCAAGCACAGACCACACATGTCCACAAGAAATGTCTTTTGCCACTCACATCACCATCAGAAGGATAATGATTCTCAATCCATCATTAAAATTTGCCTTGAGGCTTTTTGTCGCATCAGTCTCACACTTGTCTCTTGAGGCAGGTTGAGTCTTGCTTGACACGTTATTGTTTACCCACTAAACCACACAAAAGTGTGTGTGTTTGTTGTCCTGAATCTCTATAATCAGCAATTTTGATTGATGTATGTCTGACGTTATTAAAACTTGTAAAATGGATCACAATCACACTTACAGCTCGCATAGAAATACAACACATTGGTTTCATATAGAGGAGACTGGGGCTAGTTGTCACAGAGTTTTGAATAACAGTGGTTTTACTATTGTAAACCATGCCCTCAAAATGAAATTTTCATTTGTCACAAAAGGTATGCGTTACATTAACTAACCTCTTGTTCTAACAATAGTGGAGATGTTCAATAGTCAAAAAGTCAAAACATGTATTTGTATAGCGCTTTCACAATACGCACGGTTTCAAAGCAGAGAATATAATATCTTAATAATGTCATGCCTATAGTCACATTTAGTAAATTAAAGCTGGGCAAAATATAGTTTACATTTTACAAAAATACAAGCAATCAAGCAGATAAGATATGCTATATATATATATATTTGTAATATATAACTAATCTGGATTACTTAATCAGATTCCAAAAATTAAATCCTTGTAATGAGATTATATTACGTTTTAAAACACTCATAATCAGATTACAGTTACTTTTATATTGATTACATGATTACTTAAATATTTACAAAATGGCAGTAAATTATTCAGAATTCATTGATCAGTGTTAGTTAGCATAATGTAGCCTATTGTTTAATGCACTTCACGTTGTTGATAACAAAAAAAAAAATCATTTTTCTTTCTCTTTGTTTTTTTATCAATGGCACTTTATCAATATAATAAGATTATACTACTCAAATCAATGTTTTAAACAAGTTAGGTCAAAAGTAATCTAAAGCAATCAAAAGTAGTCAGATATATTACCTAAAATGTGTAATGTAATGTAATAGATCACATATATACAAACTACAACTTGTATCATGTAATTTTTATTCAGCAATAGACTACAATTTGTAGTAATCTACCCAGCACAGTATTGTGTTTATAGCCATAGTATACTGTAAAAATGGATTTATAAATAAATAAATAAGTAAATAAAATATTCAGTTGACTGAAAGGTGTGACAACTAGCCACACTAAGCAATAGTGATAAAATAAGTAGCGCAGTGTAAAATATTTGTCTTTTTGGTCATCTAGTGTTTAGTCCACCCTAAACACTAGATGGCACTGTTTGACCAGCAATGCAATGGTTTAGGCCTGTGTTTTTCGAGGATCTCCTCTCCTCACAGTGCAGACAAAGTTATCATTTACTAGTTGAGTGGGATCTGCCATTGCTGTTATCTTTTAATAGATTTGTACGGAGGGGAAAGCAGGTGCCTCTTGTTAATGTGTCCAATTGCCCAAGTTGCCTACTGAATGTGGTGCATCCATCATTGTCTGCTACTGTGACACCCTGTCATCCGCCCTCAGTGGCACAAGCCATGCAGACGCACAGTAACAGATGAGTTTCCTCATGGGCACCGTGCACGCTCAACACAATCAGCACAAACACTCCCACCCACACACACACACACACACACACACACACGCACGCACGCACGTGTACACACACACACACACACACCATACACTACTCCTAAACTATTGCTGTGTCTACACTGCTGGTGAAAAAGAATATTCTGATTTCATCAACAAAGTTTACTACAACACAATTGTCTAAGCCAGTGATTCCCAAACAGGGTGATTCAAATTTGTTCCGGGGTACTTGGAAAGATTTAATGATGACTTTTATCAATATTATAGTGCTATTATTAGGTCAAAATATTTATATAATTAATAAAATTGTTGTTATTTATTTTAATTAACTTATTTTTTATTTCATTCTAAATTGTTTCTTTTCTTTTTTCTTTTCTTTTCTTATTAATGCCTTTGCACATTCAGCTCGTCTTTTAAGTTTGTGGTTCGTTAGGGAATATATTTGTTGAGCATTAATAATTAAGTTCTACCATACAAAACTATCTGGTTTCATGAACCTATCTTATCTTATCTTATCTATCTATCTATCTATCTATCTATCTATCATCTATCTATCTATCTATCTATCTATCTATCTATCTATCTATCTATCTATCTATCTATCTATCTATCTATCTATCTATCTATCTATCTATCTATCTATCTATCTATCTATCTATCTATCTCAGTGGTGCTTGAGCTTGACTGGCTTACATGTATGGAGTATATATAAAAAAAGTTGAGACACACTGATCTACACATTGTTTTTCACAGTGTAGATGGATTATTACAGAGTAGAGGATATATGAAATGCACGATGTAATGATAATATTGACATTCATTGTTTCATCTAGATGGATAGATCGCATTTCTGCAAAACGGTACAATCAGTGCAACCTGTGATGAAATATCCTATTCTTCATTGATGTAGTCACAGATGAACTGTGTAAAGAAAGCTTGTGGTGCCACGTTATGATTTGTTATTTAGCGTCGTATTAATGTAGTAAAGATGCACAACACGGATGGGCCTGAGGCAAGCTTTATTAATAAACTTCACATTATGAACATGTATGGTTCCATATGGCCCAGATAAGTGGAAAGGCATTTTACAGTCAGTAACACTTTGAGCTTGATTCTCTAGTAAACACTACATGTGTAAATATGTTCATGGTTTGTGGCCCTATAGTAGAGGTTGGGACATGGCTTTTGCAGCTGCACCTTCTTTGAGGGAAGCATTACCAGGTTAATACCTTGTTAGGGCTCTTGCGATGACTGGGTCTTGGAGAGGTCAATGTCAGTACCACTTTAGCAAAAACCTGTGATGCAGCAGGCCAGAGTTTGAGACATGTGCAACCTCCACATTCCCATCACCCCCAAGAGTCCTTCCAGTCTCAGCTTAAAAAGGCTTTGGGTGTATCATAAATATGGCCCTGGTCACATCTTGTGCTTTTTAATAGAAGAGGGCAATAGGGTTTATTTCTTGTCCTTTGATTTCATTTTTTCTTTGGTTTTTATTTCTTTTTCTTTAGCCTGAGGCTCTTGAGCTGAAGTTTTCTCGTTTTCCTGTTGTTGGAAAGCAGTAAAGACCACAAGGTCAAAGTTCCTGACCTCAGTTTTCACGGCATGCAGGTAATTATAACCATGGTTCCTCGTTTTCAGGTTTCAGCTAAAAAATAATTGCCCTGCTGGCATCGTTAAAATCTGCTTAATTCATTTGTATAGCACCCTTGCTAAACATGATTTGAGTAAACTTTGTAATCCTATACTGTTGAGTAAAATGAATTAGATGATTTAGGTCTAATTTTGTAACACCAAAAACAGTCAGCTTAATGTGTTTCACGACTAGTGTCATTTCATTACATAAACACTTTTTGTTGCTGCTGTGTCTTTACGACTTCTATAAAAATGTCCTCTTTGCAATGCAGAGCTGTAGGTGCTACACACAGGCAGAAACAACACAAGGTGTGACACATTTTTCCACATTTATTCCTCACTCTTAAAAATAATGTTGTTGTTTTTTTTTGCAGAGATGCCATAGAATAATTATTTTAGGTTCCCCAAAGAACCTTTCAGTGAACAGTTCTTCAAAAAACATTTTTTCATAGTGTAAAGAACCCTTTAATGATCTAAATAACCTTTTCCCACTCTAACAAAACTTTTTTGCAATGGAAAGGTTCCATGGATTTTAAAGGTCCTTCATGGAACGATCCATACCAATAAAGAACCTTTATTTTTAAGAGGTCTTTTGGAATAACAAATTACCCTTGTGCCATATTAAATGATGAAATATCATCAAAATCTCCATCATAAATCAAGATCAGTGTAACTTGTGCCAGTGAAAGTAGAAAAATCAAAGATTTTCAAATTAAATGTAACCATAAAACATAATCAGAGATAATCGAATGTGTTTTAAATCCAACATGCAAATTTAATATGAGAAGTAGAACATACTAGACTAACCATAAAATGTAAACTTTCTTATTTTTGATTCTGATCCCATGCCGAGACTTTCTTCAAGGTTTACGCAATTTGAAATGTCTCTTAAGACTGCTTTGAGTGGTAACCCAGCCAATTTATGCAACAGATTCAATGGGCCATTGCAGCCTGCAGTCAAGCTCAAATGGAAACTGTAATAGTGGTTCGCCATTTGGCTATGTTATTGTTTTCTTTAGTATTACCCAGTTGGGAAAAGTCAATGGCAGAGTGGAGAGGTCCTCTCTTCCATCTCTAGAGCTAATTTGGTTGTGCAGTTTTGAGTGCTTAATTTTGCACTCAGTCGCTTTCTAAGGTTAATCGCGGGACAGCAGTGTTTATGTTGCAGTAATACGGGCCCAGCTCCCTTGCTAAATCTTGTAGGCTCAGAAATATGCATCCTCCACCCCCATCTGCCCCCTGTTCAGTGGAGGAAAAAAAGAAGAAAGACAAATGTGACGTTGAACAAAAGACAGAGGAAAGTCGTTCCAATTAGCCGCTAATGAGACAAGCTCATGAGGATTTCCAACTCCGCAACGTGTTAGCATTTACCGTGCCCCTCGCCGAAGCCCCGCGCAGCGCGACAAGGGAAATGTGGCGAGAGAACATATCTGTCATGATTGCCTACACATGGCTGCGGGGCTTGCTCTTTGAGATGTGAGCAGGAAGGAACGCCTCACTTATGGTCAATGTAAAAACACCAAATTGACATGCTGAGACCATTTTTCTGTGTTTATCTATCCTGCTACAGCACCCAACCCTTCACCCCCTCTCCCAAAATGGATCCTCAAAGAACAAGGAACAAAGTTGCACACCATACGTTCTCAATTTTCTCAATGTGGTGAAAGGGGGGAAATTCATATAATAACTGAAAAATAATATGTCAAGAGAATAACCAGCACTCCCTGAGATACTTTTATCAGAAATGTCTGGCTGAAAACGGGAAAAGAAATATGTTTTTGTAATGTGCCTCCGCTGAAAGCCTGGGGTGATCTTTTTCTAGCTGCTAAAATGGCCACATGTTGGGTTAGACAAGAGAATCTTGTCTGCAGTGAAGTGTAATGTGATGCTATCATTTAGAAACCACCAGTATGAGCATTAACGTCCAGATTTTTGTTTTGTATGCGTCACATGCTAATGCAAACGTTGGTGACTGTGCTTCGTCAAACCACAATAGCTGTAGACAGGTTTGTTTACCCCTGAAACTATAAAGATGGAGCTGAATTGAATTGGACAGGAAACACACACTGTAATTTTATTTGGTGTCGGGGAACTATGTGTGCGTGCATGCTAACTAACTGCGCCACCGGACCCGCCAGAGCTGCCAGCGTCTCGCACCAGGATTTCTAGCATTAATTTAAGTCTGAACACATCCATAAATAAATAATGAAGGAAATAATGAAAATAATATTACGTTTGGCAGCAGGCTTGTTTCACATTTCCTCTTAGCCCACGTACTGCGCTAGCTAATTAGCTTTCTAAGGAGTTGTCCTCCTTTCTGTAAATTGAGTTCCTGAGTAAAAAAAAAAGGCTCTCAAAAAGCTGTATTCTGATGAAAGACAAAAAAACATTACAAATGCAAACAAAACAGTCACATACATGTAAAGGTCTCAGAGAAGGCTACTAAACATTTTGTACTCATTGGTTAATAACTCATCACAGAACTTCTAAGAATGTTTTGCTAATGCTCCCATTAAGTTACTGTATGAAAACATCATTTCTAAATGTTGTTTGAACATTCAAAACATCCAGATTTTCAAATTAAAAAAAAAAAAAAATTCTTGGTTATGCAAAATTTAAGGGACTCAAATAAAAAAAATAAAAATAAAAAAAAATGTAAAAAAACGTTTATAGACAAATGTCCCATAAAACCCCCCAAAATGTATAAATAACTTTTTTGTATTAACGGTTTGAGAACATTAGTATAGACAAGATTCACATTCTATTAATGTTACTGGAAGAACGTTTGTTCATAATTTTGAGAGAACCTTTCCAGAACATTATACGTTCTGAGATCTTCCCCTATTAAATGGGATGTGGCTGTAGAAGCCAATCCTGATCAGCTTGCCTATTTTGGGGGCTTTTCATTGACCTTGCAGTTACTAAAACAGTATTCAGGCCTTTAACCTCCCCCTGCCAACTTGCACACACTTAACACTCCCACTTTAGGATCTTACCTGCTCCACCTTGTGCCCTCCAATGCTTCTCATAAAAAAGCTTATATGTGCAGGGACAGAAGCTGTGGCTCAGGGTAGCCTCTACTTTTTATTTGAGTCTTAAATAAGACCGTAAACCTTTAGCTCCAGAAACAACCTCCGGCACCTAGAGCTCTTTCCTCATTAGACCCCAGTCCCAAAAAAAAAAACATGTTCAAACGACTTCTTCCTCGCAATGCGTTTACTGCTAATTAGTTTGCTTTGTAAGGTTAGATGTGCGGACGGAGCAACTTTGAAAGCGTTTGGCGGCCATCTGTGTGAGCACAGCGATAACTATGTACAGATGGCCCGCACTCGAGACAGGTTGCTTCAGAGAGGAAAAAAGCAATGAGACGTTTTTAGTTTATGTTAATAAGATTTATGGCCACACTCACAGGTAACCTATTTGGCAGTAATGGTGACTGTTAGTCATTTGAGAAAAAAAAAAAAAAAAAAACGATAAAAAGTTTTGAAGAAGAAAAGTCATTGAAGCGGATGAATAGAAACCAAATAAAAGGCTTGTTCCAGTATTAAATATTTTTCTGTGATCTACTAACTGTATTAGGTGGGGTTATTAGTCCTTCTTATCATTTTTTTTTCTGCTTTGCTGTTTCTACACTGCCACATATTGAATCAATTGGTTGTCAGCTACTTGAGAAAAATACTTAATTTAACCAAGTTAAATTGCCATTACTTACTCAGTGAACCAGGTAACTCAAGAAAAAGGTAATATTGCCTGGTAATTGTTGGACACGGTCACAAAATTCGCAAACATAATCAAATAAGTGAAGTGACATTTGTAATTTATGCCTTTGCTTCAGACGCAGGTGTTTACATACTGTTTTCAGCCATTTTCATTTAAGAAATATAAAGAATGTTAATTCGAATTTTTAAAAGATATGGGAAGATATTTTCTAATATCTTTATGTGTACACTAATGTGAACAAAGACAAGAAGATTTTTATTTTTTATTTTAGACTGACATTCTAAATTTTGTGTGAAATCTGTTCCAGTCAGTTCACTGCTTTAGTGCCTCCTTTTCTGGACAATATATAAGCTCTTCTAACTTTATTTTTTAAAGTTGCGCTGAATTAGTGCTGGCCCATGTCCAGGTTCCTCAATATATTGGTAGAACAAGAGATATTCTGTATGAGCGCACACAATAGGATTCCCCTTCGTAGTCTGTTGATTACGTTCATGCTATAAAACGTGGCTAATTTTATAAGTGGCTAGATTTTGTTTTATAAAATATATCATCCAGCTCCTTAATTAACATACTTCTTTTTGGATCAAGGGAGAGGATTTGCACTAATTCAGTGTTTACTTTACAGACATAGTGAAATAAACTTCATCTTGCCTTTGAGTGGCTAATTCTGCTAATTGCTTCCACAAGTAAACACTCTGTTAGCATGGCCCATCACAAAACACATCAGCTTAGCTGTAATGGAGTCCAGAGCTTTTGGGAGGTTAAGAGTGTTTTTATAACTTAAGAGGACTTGATAAGAGAAAGCTATAACTACAGTGGATCAGTTTGACAGCTTTTCAAAGAGCACTATCTATAAGTGGCTATTTTTGAGCCATAGAGAGACTGTCCTCTTAGCTGAAGTCCTCATTAGGGAAGGAAATCGAGAGGAAGCTGAGAACAGAGAGAAAGAGGGAGATAAAAATATGTTCAAATAACATCTTTGTAATGTCAGTGCCCATTTTTCCTTCTGTGCTTGCATATGCAGCATCTTCATACTGTTAAAAACTCTTCAGTTATTGTTTGTACTTCTCTGCTAGCAGTGTCTATAGCTGCTGTTTTTTGCAGCCATTTGTATTTTTTCCCCAATACCACAATCATTTTAATCCTTCTTTTTTTTAGATGCTTGCATTATGGATAAAGTAGGCTAACATTCCTTTAACCAATACTAAACAGCATATTTTGTCAAAAAGAAATTTGTTTTAATGGATTTACTGCAT